ACACACACACACACGGAGACAGTGACACCCCAGCAAAAAGCAGCTGAGGGGAATCTTCTCAGTCTAATTACAACTGGGAAATCTCTGAGAATACAGGAAGTACATGCATGTACGTCGAGAGCATCGCACGCACGCACGCACACGCACGCGCACGCACACGCACACGCACACACACACACACAACACACACCACTGTCAACCACAGTAGCCCCAAATCACCGGCTGTGCTAAATGTCCACCTTAAAATACATAGATCCGATGCTCCAGGAATGCTGTGGAAAAACAGCGAGGGACAGAAACCGTCATGGATCTGTTTTTTCTGTTTTCTATTCCCGTTTGTTGTTCCTGTCAAACAGACAGAGAGAGAGAGAGAGAGAGAGAGAGAGAGAGAGAGAGAGAGAGAGAGGCAAAGCTGCTTCAGCCACTTTGGATAATTATGTTACAAAGTGGGACATGGGATATGATTATATGGACTTTAGCGTCCACATGATGCTGGGAGGAGGGAGCGGGAAGTGCAGACTTTCAGCTCAATGCGTGACCAAAATCCAACTTTGTGGGAGTCTTTAAATCCTTTTTATCTCTTTCTCATCTAATAATCTGGGATAACGGTGTCTGTCTCTGTCTTATAGCTACTGGATGGAGGAAAACATGCTAGAAATACAAATGGTGACCTAAAATGATCTGAAATTAATTCAGTTTATTTATATTGCGCCAAATCAGAACAAGAGTCGTCTCAAGGCACATTCCAATACAGTTCAGTTCATTAAGCCAATCAGCAAAAAGTTTCCTATATAAGGAACGTGCTGGTGAAGGCTCTCAGTCGTCCAGGTCATGGTAATCCAAAGGGTTCAAATGAAGGCAACTGGACCCCGAGTACCCAGTAGAAGAAACTACTCTGGGTCCTCCCCCTAGTAGCTTTGGCTCGTTAAATAACAGACAGCTACAGCTCATAAGCTTGCCTCTCCCATATTCCAATTAGAATTGACAAAGCTCCTCAGATGAGAAGCAAAACGTCGTCAAGAAACCAAAGAAGTCCAGTTGCCTTCATTTGAACCTTTTGGACTATAAGGAACACAGCAGATTGCATCGAGACACTGACTAGTGTCAGAGTCCTTACAGCAATCCTCATACTAAGCAAGCATATAGCGACAGTGGAGAGGAAAACTCCCTTTTAACAGGAAGAAACCTCCAGAGCATCCTGGCTCAGTATAAGCAGCCATCCACGGGGCCGCCGCTCTCCATACACAAGGTACGCAGAATGCGTAGGGCCTTGACACGTGGGTGGGGGGTGGGGGTGGGGGCAAAAAATTATTACAGAGTTGAGTTATTATTACAGTAGCATATTGCTCAGAAAACATACTGTAACGTCCAGCAATGGTCAGTTCAGGCACTGTTTGGCCATTCAACATCTGGTCAAATAGGAGACACAAGACTGCACGTTATCCCTTTAAACCAGCCTGCCTTCCTCTCACCAGCTGGAGCTCGGAGCCCGCAGCTCTCACAGAGATAATGAAACAATAACATTCCGTCCTTCCAAGGTCCTTTACGGAGCAACTCTTTCATATAAACTCCTCGCTTCAAAGAAGAAAGAAGATTTTTTAAATTAAATACAAACTTCTGAAATTTTTAAGAGATAATCATTAAACATTTGTTTATTGCTACTTATAATAATTATAATATAATGAAATGTTTTCATTAATCTGTGCTCAGTGATATGTTTCAGCATGCTGATGTGACGAGGTCATCACCATTTGCACTCACACAAGGACAAAGTTAAGTTAAGTTAAACGCATGACACATAATTAACCTTTTACCCAGATCAGAGCCTCCGGGTCAAAGAAGGTGTCTCTCTGAGATTCTTGGTAATATCCAAACTTGTCAACTTTTGGTTGGCTACTCAATCATAGCATCATAACATTAAAACTAGATCACTCTGGTATTTCTTCAGTTCAAGAGCAAGCTTCAGACCAGCCATCTGTAGCACAACCTCTTTAACCCCCCCCCCCCCCACACACACACACACACACACAGCATTGTTGTTTTCTAGCTCCTCCATCAGGTTGCAAAAGCTTTCATCTCACTGAGCAGGAATGAAACCAGATGAGTGGGAGAAAGGAGAAAGGACTCGATAAAGAGGAGTTAAGGTCATTCTGAATCAAAGAGGATTAATCACCGAACTTGTCATCAGAGGCTATTATTCCTCCACCTGCTGCACCACTAATTGTTGTCATTATGTGGAATTAAGTCAAAATCAAACTGATGACAAACAAAAGAAGCCCCGTAGATGATTTCTCCTCATCTTTCTGTTAATGTGAGCAGCCAATATTCAGGATAAACGTCCAGCTGATGTGCACTTTCAGTCCTCACAAGTAAATGTAAAAGTCCTCTTCTGTAAATGCATTTAAATAAAAATACATTTTCAGTGTTTTCAATTTTAAATTCATTCCCTCAGCTAATAAAGAAACACTTCATTGTTACATGTGAATTGGCCTAATTTAAGGTGATATCTGCTGATTTGTAATCGGATAAAAAGCTGATCTAGACATCGAAACGCCATGGAAATGAGACGATTAATTAGATTTAAGTCCATTATTTACACGATACTTTAATGCCATTGTTCTCTGTGAAAACTTTATTTACTGTTTAATCAACTGCAATGTCCAAGTTTCCCTTTATCGACACTTAAAATGAACTTCTGACCCTTCCAGGGACTTGATACCCAACATATGTATGTTCTGTGCAGCTTTTGCACGAGGACGCACGTTTGTTTTTGTCCGCTCTGGAAATGCAAACACACCTGGAGCAGCGAAGCAGAGCTGACAGACACATTTTCACACGTATTATACAGATACAGTAGCTCCATGCGCAGCGCGCACACACAATGGCACACTGTTGACCAAAGAAACACACAAGGTCCTATCTGGAAAGGTGTGTGTGCGTGTGTGTGTGTGTGTGTGATTGTGTATGCTTTTCTTGCTCAGGTGTCTGCATGGAATCATACGAGCTACTAGTTGATGGAAGAATGAGGAGACAAAGGTAAATAAAAAACAAAGAAACAAACCTTTAACTACTGTTGTGTTGAAAAAGAATTTAAAAACCAATTCTGAATCGATTATTTTAAAATTCCCCCCATCCAAAATTGAACTGAATCGATAATAGATTAGACAAGAATAGATTTTATTAATCCCACAGTGGGGAAATTCCCTTGTTACAGCAGCACAAACACTTGAAAAGGAAGAAAGAAAAAAAAGATTACTGGTAAACACACCAAGTAGTCCAAGTACGTCTAAAAATGCATTTACACTTTTAAAGGTGTGGTTTACTCGTTTATTCAATACATTTACAGTGTTCTCTACTGTAAATCAAGGCCTTATAATAAAAAAAGCTATGATGCAGAAGTTTGCGGGTGCAGAAGTGGGCTGAAAATGGCAGGACTACTGGTTATTATTAACGATATGCCCACACCTCGCTTCTGATTGGCTAACAGAGCACGTTCAGCCATGTTGCAAAGTCACTTTCACCAATAAATTCTCCGCCCTCTCTCCTCGCTGCAAAAAAAAATCAAAAAATTTTAAAAAAGCTTTGCGTGTTGGTGTGAGCCAATATAGGCGAGGTAATTAATGCAAATACACAATGTGACATCACAGTGTGAGGATTTTCAAATCCTAGCATTTCACCATCTATTTTCTATCAGAAGCTAACACAGAAAGTAGGTGTAGGAGACTATTTTCGTGTTCAGCCTGCATGTAAAACTCAGAGTGACCCATTAGAATCAGAAATAATCATTAAAACTTGTTTTTTAGAAAACTACACCTTTAACATAGTCTGCCTTTTTACCCTTATATATATTTATACACACACACACACACCAAAACTGGGGGTGGGGGCTTGATGATTTGGGCTTCTTTTGCAACCCCAGGACCTGAGGTGACCGTAAGCCAAACAGTTGTCTACCAAAAGCATTTAGAGGCAAACCTAAATTGATAATTTGGCCTAAGCTCCTAAAACAATTACAAAATATACACAACACATCAAAACATCCAGATTATATAAGATTTTGGCTGCAGGAGAAAATAAAATAAAACCCAAGATTAATCAAAGAGCTGAACAGAACGAAGCCATCAGTCAGGACTATCACGTGTCGCCCAGATGATAGTGTGTTAACAAAATCATCACCTCTATGACATCATCTCAGTTACACTGAAATCTGAGACTTGAGTGGTGTGTGTGTGTGTGTGTGTGTGTGTGTGTGTGTGTGTGTGTGTGTGTGTGTCTGTGTGTGTGTGTGTGTGTGAGGATGATTTAAAGCTAACAGCAACATGTCAGGGTGTATGATTTAGGTGTGTATTATCTTCTCCCATGACTGATGTTTGCGCTCCAGCTTGCAGAACAAGAGCCGATTAGCTTTTCTTCTGCAGCGTCTGAGGCGGCAGCAGCTCCTCGCAGCACTTCAGAGATTTGATTGGGGGCTAAACTTTTCATTTGAACATTTGTGGATTCCACTTTTTTATCTCAAAAATGTTTTTCTCTCCACTGAATCCTTTCTTTTTAATGTGCAAACCTTCAAGTAAATATTGACTAAATTACAAAACTAAATAAGAACGCTCTGACTGCTCCCAGAGCTGCAGAAGTTCAGCACCTTAAGTCGGGACAGCAGTAGCTCAGGTGGTAGAGCGGGTTGCCTCATGATCGGAGGGTCAAGGGTTCGATTCCAGCTCCCGCCAAGGGTATCCTGCTGTTGTGTCCTTGGGCAAGACACTTCACCCAACTTGCCTGTGTTAGTGGTGGTCAGAGGGGCCGAATGGCAGCCTCGCCTCTGTCAGACCTCCCCAGGGAGGCTGTGGCTACAAGTAGCTCACCATCACTACCAGTGTGTGAATGTGAGAGTGTGTGAAAGCGTCTTTGGGGGTCTAGAAAAGCGCTATTTAAGTTCAATGCATTATTATTATTATTATTACCTTCAACCAGCAGAACACAGAAGATCAAAGTGTTTTTCCTACCTTGACGTAGTCGACCGCGGCATCCAGGGCAGCTGCGGGATCTCTGGGAAAAAGAGACAGAGGGAAGGTCCGGTTCAGAGAGAACATCTTCCCAGAAAGACCCAGAGGACTTTGTTCTTCGCTAAAGTTCCTGATGTAACTCAGAGATGCTTGGGTTCTGGTTCTGTAGGCTCAGTAGATTCCTGACGTGTTTTCAAAGCTGGATTTCATGTCAGAGAGACAAGGATCTCCTGTTGGGAGTCAAAGTTCACCAGGCACCTCAGACGAGTGAAACCAAAGTTCTGAGTTTAAATGTGACTTTTGCTCTTTCCTCTGTCCCGTTGGCTGTCCTTCTTCATCCTTTCATTCAGAAACTAACACGTTCATTCGCCTGCCTGCCTGCCTGCCTTCCCTCCACCCCCATCATAACACACATCACAGCCACACGCCTACTGTTCTTAGCCCACTGACAGATTCACACAGAGGTTAGACAACACACACACACGCACGCACGCACGCACACACACACACACACACACACACGCACGCACACGCACGCACGCACGCACGCGCACGCACACGCACACACACGCACACGCACGCACGCACGCGCACGCACACGCACACGCACACGCACACACACGCACACGCACACACACACACACACACACACACACACACACACACACACACACACACACACACACACACGCGCACACACACACACACACACACACGCACACACACGCACACACACACACACACACACACACACACACACACACACACACACACACACACACACCTCCAGTTTTATTTTTTTTTCCTCCTGTTCTTCATAACAGAGACTTTTGTCCAGTTCTTGATTTTACCTAAAGATATTCTTCTAACTCTCTCTGCAGAAAGTGATTGGCTCAATATCCCCGTCTGCAGGAAGGTTGGTAGTTAAAATCCCTTAAGCCAGCAGGAGCAGTGTTCCCAGAGTTTGCTACTTACCAAAGCAAATACCTTTTTAACTCTAAACCCTCTCGGCTTTAGTAAGATCCTACAACAACGAGCAGAACAGAGGACTCCATTCATACATTCATAAGAGCTGCTTTAGGAAAAAACACCAGTTCTTCCCTTTTATGTACAATAAAGTCAGTTATTAATGGCACAAATAAAGCATCGCAGTAGCATGGAAATACAAACACAGTCAGTCATGACATAAATGACATTAACAACACATTATTGATTACTTCTGTGTTAAAATAATAACCTTCCCTGTTGCTTATATTAGTAAATTCTATAAAAATGTACAAACTTTCAGCAATGTGACTAAACTGCTCAAACTTATGTTTCTCAAATTTGAAGTGAAATCACTCAAAGCGCCACATAAAGAAACTAGCAAACAGTAGACGCTGTGAAACTGATTTCTGCACGTGGATTTAGGTGAGAACTCCCTGACAAAACTCCATCTAGCTGTGATATCTGTGTCCTTCTGCTGTGGCGGGAACACCATGCAGTCATTTCCCATCATCTAGGTTATTTTGGACAAAGTTCACTACAGTCTGGCTCCAGCGCTGAGGATTATTATTATTATGTTCCTACCATCAGCTGATGAAAAGAGAGAGGATATTTGTTTGCTTTTGTTCTTAGGGTTTCATCTTCATCCGCAAAAGCGTGTTGCGTCTAATCCCAGGGGAACTCTTCAAGCTTTTGACCACATCAACAGTCTGACCCTTTAAGCCCTGGCTTGACGCCAGCGTGAGGATGAAACGGGAATCACCACAGACAGACAACACCCAATTAAATCCTCCAACCGAAGGAAATTCCCTCGTTTTAGCCTCTGATTCAGACAAAAGTCAAAGGTCACGCTTGAAACACAGAAAATGTCTCAAAATCTGCTTTTTGGTAGTTTGTCACCATCACGATGAAGCCTTTCATCCTTATTTGTTTCTGACAGAAGCCGTTTTACAACGTTACCGACATAAAGAGGCTGTGCGATGGCTCAGCTCCGCGTTTTCAGACTAGACCAACTGACCACGGCTAAATCGAGTCTTTTATTTTGCTACAACGCCGTTTAACGCTGACATTTTCTGCTTGGAAGACCACAAAAACATTCTGTTGCACAGTCAGAGGCAAAGGAACAGAAAACAGAAAGAGCTGAGGCGAGCAGGAAAATAAAAAAGTACAGAAAGGTTCATGCTGAAGCAGGCAGAACTCGGCCACAAGCTTTTTCTGGCTACTGTTGTTCTTCCCACTTCACCGCACGGCCACGACTGGCCTGAGAGAGCAGAGGCCACATGTGTGCGCGCACGTGTGTGTGTGTGTGTGTGTGTGTGTGTGTGTGTGTGTGTGTGTGTAACTGGGAAGGGAGGCTCAGCGTGTAGAGGCAGTATTCAGCCCACAGAGGTCAGTGTGGTTCCACTTCACCTGGTATGACTTTTATTTGGGGATTAAATCCCTCTCTTTCATTTCTGTGAAATCTTTTTAGTTGTTGTTTATCATAATTTCAAAATGTAGGTGACCAAATCAGTGTTATTTGGTTTAAAATGAAGCACCATTAAAACAGTTCGGGTACGTTTGGATTTCCGGAGATGCTGAGAGGTCCTAGTTTACGGTTTTTCATGAAAAACAATCCATGAAGATCCTCGTTTTCGGTTATCCGACTTCAAACTCTGTCTCCTCCTCCTCCTGCTCCTCCTCCTCCTCCCTGGTGGTCCCAAAGGTGCCCACAGAGGTCAAGAGAAAGACAAACTGGCCAATCAGACGCTAGTGCAACATAAGGTCAGGGGCCAGGGGTCAACAGACAGCATGAGCAATGAAAAGTCAAGATGGACTGACCAGCAGCAAAAATACTTTTAAAGATAAAATATTTCCTCTTTTGATAGAAAAATCTGACAACATTTAAACCAAGTGGGAAAACTCCAAACGTTTGTATTCATTTGACTCAAAGGGAAACTTAGAAAGAGGCATAAATATTTAGATTTAACCCGTTTTAACAGATGTTTACTAAATCAGAATTTTTAAAGCATCTTGTTTTTTTCATTTGTAGAGTTTGATACGGCGATACTTTCATCAGCCTGCGGACTCTGACTTTAATCTGGACGAGTGATCCTGCCGTATCGGCGGCGGCGGCGGCGTATGAAACGAATCCAGCACGGAGATAAAAGAGGAGACAAAGAGCTCACAGTAATCTGTGATCAGCCGGCCACACCCCGACCCTCCAAAGGTAAGGCAGCTGCTGGAGGCTACGGGCCCGCGCTCCCACACAGCCTGCACACAAAGCTGGCCACATCAGGCTGAGGTAACCCTACACTAGAGACAGAGACATGGGAGGACACGATGAGGGATGAGGTGTGTGTTCTCACTGAAGTTGAGCTAACAGCTACACCCCCCCTGGAGACTCGATTTACAACATCTCCATCCAGCTGGGAACGCTCTCACTCCCTGTTCTGACGAGCACCGGTCAGGCCTTCCTGCTGATATTGTGTGCATGTTTCAGATATTAGCCTGGGCCCACAGCGGGGAGCTGACTGGAAACAAAGTGCAACGGGGTCGACGGAGTCTTTGATAGATTTGTAGTTGTCTCTTTCACAGATGATGGGTCAAAGACTTTAGCCCCAGATTTGCCACAGCAGCTGTTGTCCATAAATAACCGAGCTAAAACGTTTCCACTTCCTAATTTAGGCTCTGGGCACGTATGTGTCTGTCTCACTTAGGAACTTTTTAGCGTTCTTATTTTTAAAAACCATTTGCAGTGGTCTCTAGTATAAATCAGCCTTCTAATCCAGCTAACTTCAGCACTAACGTCGGCAGAAAACAGCAGGATCTAAGAATCTTCTCACCCATTTTTACCTGATGTTTGGACACCTGTCCTCTGATTGGCTGACACTAACGTGACTCTACCACTGACTCTGTTTGCTTTGAAACTTTGATGTTCAATCTCCACAAGTAACACAAGCTGAAGGAGTTCTGCCATGTTATGGAGTTGCTAATGCTAACGGTTAGCTTCTACTAGCCGGAACGTGCTCTGCTGTTTCGTGGATGCTAAATCAACAACAACCTTCCCCGTCGCGAGCCGAGATGAATGCCAATTTTTAGCGTGACGTGCAAATGTCACTGGCTATCTAATCCGAGCGTTTCCTGGCAGCTAATGCTGCTGAGCAGCCAGCCCCATACTTCTTTATGGGAAGCATGGGTCTGGGAACTCTTCTGGTCAAATAACCCCACCCCCTGAGAATTTTAACCGAGCCAATCAGCGTATGTCACACACATCACAACGCTGAGTTTCTCAGAAACATGGCGTCTGAAGCGGCGTTCTCTACGGCTCTTTCCTCTGTTCTAAATGACTCGAATGTCTTTAAAACCACAACAAGTAGAAGCGCTAAATGCTATTCTGCTAAAGAAAGATGTGCGCGCCGTCGCCAGACGCCATTTTTGACCACAGCTAAAAAAAAACAACAGCGTCGCCATTTCCGCTTTTTTCTGATTGGTTATTTTTGAGCTGGCTAGTCCCGCCCCTCATGTGCCTCTCTGCCTGTAACCAGACTCGGTCTGTCTAAACAGAGGACTAGCGATGGGTACTGAATTCAGTGCTTTTTAAGGTACCGACCGAATTCCATATTACCGACTGAGCACGTCATTTGAAACGGTGCCTCGTTTCGGTACCCGTCCTTCAGAACAAGAACTTGCCTAGACAGCTGCGCATGCGCAAGAGCGTTATGTCGTCGGTCGCTGCGAGCCAGTTCTAAACAGAGCAGCATGGTAGAAAGAACGCACGCTAAAGCTTGGGTCCACTTCACTAAATGTGATGGGTAACTGGGTGAAGATGAAACCAGCGACAACGATCTAAGTGTAAGGCATCATCTTTTTAATCTGCTCCAGCAGCTAAATAAACTGTTTAAGATAACGTTAGCTTGATAAATTAGCTTCCATTGCCACCATTGTTATCAGCTAATGGTGCGTTTGCTTTCTCCTCGGAAATTCTAACTTCCCAGTAGGAAAAATCAAATGAAAAAGGATGGCAAATTTTCACGTTAAGCCTGCATGTTAAACTCAGAATGATCCTATTTAAAAAAAAAAAGAAAGAAAAAAAAAGGTTTCTCAGTGAACTTGGTCTTTAAAGGCATACTGTGCAACTTTTTCCATATTTTTAAACCATTATATTGAGCCAGTATGTGCTAAAATGACATTTTACAGGGTTAATGAAATGTCGCTCAGACCCCCACCGCCCTGTGGCCAGAATATCGCATTTGCAACTTCAGAGTGCCGGTCTGGTCCTTGTGGGACAAAGAGAAAGTGCTGCAGTCTGCTTCCAGCACGTTTCCTGCATGTTTGGATCGTGAACACGGCTGATTTGTTTGATTTAGTGATCATTCACTCCTGCAGACACTATTCCAGCTGTCAGACAAAGACGAATGCACAGCGAGGAGATTTCACTTTTGCTTTGACTAACGGACACTAGGGGGTGCTAAAAGCAAGCTAAACTGCACCGTATCCCTTTAATTATCAATTATTTGAGTGGAAACATGTGAATAATTGCTCCTGCAGCTGTGGTTGTGTTGGATGCTGGTTATGATGTTCAAGAAGTAAAAACTGAAATAGAGAGCATACATTTCTGTTGTTAGGCGCTTACCTGTAACTGTTAAAGTCACTGTTTTGGGACAGTGAGGGTTTTATAGGCGGGTGCACGAGCCCAGGAGGCAGCAGTGGGTTCCCACAGACTAACGGCTGTGTGTGATTGATTTTGGGGTCCCATGTGTAGTTCCCATGGGCGACGTTGGCCCCTCCTCGCTTGCTCCGTGGCAGTGTTCCATGTAACGAGAGTGGCTGGTAGGCTGCTGCAGGAATCTCAGATAAGCTGCTGCCTTGCCCCGCTGGGAGGCTGCAGGAAGGAAAAAAAAAGTGGGAGTTTTCCAGTTAAAAAGAGTTTTGCTCAAATGAAACTTTATGTTTTTAATTAGCAGGAGAGAAAAAAAAACTCACCCAAGTTTGGAGGTGAGGCGGTCCATGGGGGAGGCGAGGGAGGGCTGACACTTCCTGGGGGAGCAGGTGATGTTGCTGGGAGGACTGGTGGAGTTGCTGGTGACTCCAGGGTGGGCAGCACCTCCTCCTAAAGCGCGGTGGGCATGGAGGGATCTGGGCAGGCTGGCAAAGCGCCCCTCAGCCATCATCCTCAGCTCTGCAACGAGAACCGCGCTTATCCACAGCTGATCAGGGATTACATCATCATCTGAGCTGGATCAGCTGTAACTTTGGGAAACTTAAGCAGGCATGGAAGCTGGACAGAAGGAAAGGATGTTCCATTTCATTACATGAGTCTAAAGTGTTGTATGACCCAAAAGACGCAAGACAGTGGACATATTCCCGCCTTATGTGAGATACGATACATGAAAAAGGGTGTAACACCCAGAAACACCGTCTTCTTAGAGTTCTGCAACCACCCAAGGCGCTTCACAACACAATCAGTCATTCACCCATTCACACGCTGGTGGGGATGAGCTGGGGCGCCCTGACAGAGGCGAGGCTGCCGAGCACTGGCACCACCACCAGCAGGCAAGAAGGGTTAAGCGTCTTGCCCAAGGACACAACAGCAGAATTCTCTGATCGGAACGGGGATCGATCCTGCAACCTTCCGATTACCGGACAACCCGCTCTACCTCCTGAGCCTAACCCTTCTCGTTCAGGTGATCAAAACACAAACAACAACAACTGTATGTACTGCTAACGAGTACATGACATTTAAAAATGACATCAGTTAAAGAGCAAGTCACTCCAAATCAACATTTTTTTGCTGATAAACTATATAAATGAGTGTCTGATCGTGCTGTAGACAAATGTATTCAATAATTCGGCATTTTAGTTCATTTTAGTTCAAATTTAAATATTCTGCCTAAAACTGTCAGCGATGCACCGTCGTCAGGTAAAAACTCTGCACTGCATTTGAATTTAAATCTGCCATCGCTATTGGCTAAGAGGTACACTATGATGTTAGATGGTACATTATGATGTCACAATGTCGTGAGTGTGTGTATTTGTTAGCGGCTCCACCCTCTCGGTCTGCTAGGCAACAGCATTTGTTGCATTTTTCAAACAGGAAGTGGGAGTTGAGTAAGAATCTGGTAGGGGGTGACTTGCTCTTTAACATCCAAAACACAGATTTTACTGTTTTATTCATCAAAACACGGAAACGTTGATTTTGTTCTTCAGACTTGAGGTTTTCACACATTTAACGTAATTTAAAAGTCTGTAGAGTCATTTATGCATCAGCTACAAACGTTTCAGTAGATCTGAGGGTTAACCACGGAGATACTCAACAACACAGAGGAAACGCTAGCACTCCCCTCCGAGTGTTTTATTTTTACTCCTTGTGACGGTACGGACACCACGGACAAAAATACACACGATGAGCAAGACGAATCGTTCTGCAGGTCTGGAAAAATAACACCGGACGAGTTCTTCCTAAATTCCCCTGCTGTGTGAGGATGACTGGACAGCGATCACTCACTCTGCAGCGGTTAGTCACGCCGCACAAAACGCTAAAGAATCCTGAGACGACTCAGCCGATAATCTCGGCAGATCTGGGAGTCTGACCTCAACCTCCACGCCGGTAAACAGGCTGATTGTGATCAGAACGGAAGCAGTCCAAAACTTTATTTAAACAAGATTAAATCAGAAATAAATACAAATACTCCCAAACAGAGTACTCCAAACACTCCCAGAAAACAAGCCGAACTTTTATGATTCATGGGAAAATTTACAGTCAAACACCGCATGTCGGTTTTAATCACAAGAAAATGCACGTGGACAGGTTTGTGTGTAATAAGTGTGCACTGCAGCGATTAAATGGCCAGGAGGAACATTTGAAAAAACAAATAAATGCATTTTCCTAAATGTGAACGTTAAAGAGTTGTAGTTATCTAAAATAAGCTGCAGGAGCATCCGTTTGACCAAAATGCTTTAACTTTACTACTTGATGCAGATTAAATTAAAAAAATCACAGAAGAGCTTTGATTTATGAGTCAGAGGTGTTGATTCTGTAGATTTATCCCGCTGCAAACAAGCTTAGATTAAATTAGAACCAAACAGAAACACAGACTCACAAAGTCATCAGCTTATATTGATGAAAATCAATAAAAATGCAAATATGTCTCTAGATAATGGAACAGCTGGTTCATGCCTCTACACACACACACACACACACACACACACACACACACACACACACACACACACACACACACACACACACACACACACACACACACACACACACACACACACACACACACACACACACACACACTTTGTGGATTCCTCTGTGGGACAGCGGGAGAACCTGTCTGAGATTCAGCTGTGAGTGTGTGTGTGTGTGTGTGTGTGTGTGTGTGTGTGTGTGTGTGTGTGTGTGTGTGTGTGTGCGTGCGTGGCCCTGACCATCTGCTGGACACACAACCTTCTCTAGAGCGAAGAAGGGACAAACGCTCCCTGAGTAAAAGCACAAACACACAAACAGTTTTTCAGCACATCTAATAAATTATTAACATTATTAAAGCGACAGGAAGTCCTTTTTAAGGAACACCAGAGTACTTCCTTTCCTCTCCGAATCCACCTCATCAGATGCTCTCATGCCATTTATTTCCCATGCCTGCTGTATTCCAGCCACTCCTCTCTCTCTTTTGACTCCATCACCACATCCATCTTTTCTCTTTAAGTGTCGTGTGACGCGTCCCCCCCCACACACACACACACACAGACGTCCTCTCCCTATCGCTCTCTGTCCGTCATCGTGTCAGCTTCTCGTTCGCCTCCTGACTTTTGTCTCCTCCTTTGCTTTTGTCCTTCCAACTCTCACTGATACACTCCCTTTTTACCCTCTTTTGGTTTTTTATGTCTTCATCGTCTCGTCCTCTGATTCCGGCAGCTGTTGGGCCGACAATCACACATCTCAGCATCCCACGTGCACTCAGACGGGTTCATTAGCACCAAACCCGTAAGGCCAACGACACAAAAGAACTTACAGGTTTCCTTTTTGTCTTACAAAGTTAGTTTTAATTCAGAACCTTGAATCTTGTTCAACATCAAATTAAAACCAGTTTTTGTGTCCGACGGAGCAAAAGCTATTTATTCTAATTTCTTTATTTTGTGTAAACTAAAGCTTCTCTGTGAAAAAGGCGAAGCCCACTTTTGTGTTTAACGTTCAGTTAAAATCTGAGAAGTTTTAACTGCTGGAAACTGGTTGCAGACACAAAATTACAAGAAAATCTAAATTCTAAATGTACAAAACGTAAATTGTAATACAAATGTTAGGATATCGCAGAAACTCCTGTCGCAATGAAGTCATAAATAATCTTACGTCCATTTACTTTTTAATTGATCTGCCTTTTACACAAACTTCTCATCTCTAATCCGTCTCCAACGCTTTCTCTAAGGTCATTCACTTTTTGATCTAAAAAAAGTTATTCAAGGAAAACTCAAGACCAAGGTTCCAGAAGCTCGCAATGGCTCTGGGAATATTCTGGGAACGTTTCAGTAATTTTGCTCGAACCCTAACCAAAGCTTACCCTAGCCACGCATAAAGTTGTACTTAAAGGGACATTATGGAAGTTTGACAGCCAAAACATGTATAGAAATAATAAATGTCTTCTTCATACATTCTCCTGCAATGCCCTGGTCCTGTAGAACGAGCCCTGGCATTTTTACTGTGATTGCCTGTTTTTCTGTAAAATCACAGAAAAAGAGAGATGCTCGGGTCGAGCAGGCTGCTTCATGCACGTTCACGCTCAGGCATCGCCCGTAGCATTTGCTATCAGTAGCTTTAGCAGCAGAGAGAGAGGTAGTGCCACTTTGTCGCTGTTCCTAACGCCTAGTGACAAAGCTAGCTACATTTCTGAGGACCCTTAGCTACTTTCTGTAGAACTTTCTTCTAGATTTTTCCTGCAAATTGGCAACAAAATAGCCATTTTCACTCCGAACCGTTCTTTGAACGTTGTTTCAGCCGTCATCAAGGATATAAATGTTACAGATACAAAAGACGTCACTGGCGCTTTAGCTCACCTAGTAAGACGTCGGACTCTCGTGCAGAAAATCCGGGTTTGCTTCTGGATGTGAACATAGTTTATTTAGAGTTTCTTTTTTACATTAATGGTATATTTTTTTACAGTAAGATGCCCAAATTTTTATTTGAGACTCGCCGAACGGCATTGAATTCACAGATAAAAAAGATGTGGGTTCAAATTTCATTTTGGAACAATTTTTCAAGCAAGAGAAGGGAATGATCTGAGCATGCAGGAGGACTGACCCATCATAAACCTTTGTCGGCTGTGCTGAAGAGAAAGGTACAGAACCAAATTATTTAATTAATTAGCTGCGTGTTCTCCTGTCCTCTGGGCCCCACACACACACACACACACACACACACACACACACACACACACACACACACACACACACACACACACACACACACACACACACACACACACACACACACACACACACACACACACACACACACACACACACACACAGGACTGTCTCAGCTGTTATTTTCATTAAGGAGTGTGCACGTACAGCATGCACGCCTCGTGCACGAGCCTACTATTGAAGCTGCTGTTACGCTTTTGGCCTGAGGGGGCAATCGCGAGCATAAAAATTCAAAACTCCGTAAAGTCCCTTTAAGCTCCAGTTATGTCATCCCCCCCCCCCCACACACACACACACAGATACACACCAGTGGCGGCGCCAGGGGGGCGCTATAGCTACCCCTGGATTAGTCATTGCACCACCAAGTAAATATTAGATAGTTTTTTTTTACAATTTAATTTTAATTGAACGTGTGGATGTGATAATATTTAACATACAAAACAAAAATAATCAGTAAATTATCATATAGATAGTAAAAACTCAAACCAAAACAGGAAATTGATGTCACCCTTTGACCTCATTTTCCACCTGCGAACGAGTGAAAGGTAGAGCTAGCGGTAAAATGGATCGGTTTTTGTTGCCCACATTTCCACGGGTTCAGTCAGAAACGAATGAATGTTTGGAAGTGATCTCAGACCCACAAAAACCTACAGATCTGGATGAAGAGAGTCAACCCTCAACCGCCGCAGCAGTCCAGGGATTTGCCGCTGGAAATGCTAACGCTAACGTTAGCTAACCATGCAACACTATAGATGGTTTTCTGTGTGGCTGTATGTATTTATGATTTCATGGAAAAGTCAGCAAGTGTTCTTGTGTTTATGATGTATATTAATGATTGTTGCAGGTGTTGTTGAGGTGTTGTGCACGCATGTGTATCTGCTAGTGTTGAAGGTGTTTTAGAGAACAATAGGTACGCATGACCCCTTCCTTCATAGCACCCTCAATAAAAACACTAGCTCCTTCATAGCACCTGCAGAAAAAACATTTCTGAAGCCACCACTGATACACACACACACACCCTCAGATCTGAGTCATCCCCATTAAGTTCTGAAATGAAACACGGTGATGATAAATCATCACAAAGATTTATGCGTTTACACGTAAAATGATCATTAGTAATACCTTCATGGATTTCTATGGTTGACTGTAATTTTCCATCCATGGACGCGTTCTGACCCTTTGCCTCTTAGCCGAGGGTATTTTTAGCAGCGCAGAATGAATATAATCTCATTAGCTAATTGCTAATTTACCATATGTCCCCGCAAGGTCAGTAAAAAACATATTTTACTTCTTACCCTCTCCCTGAGACTCACCATGGATCAGCAGGGATGGCTTCATCGGGAAACATTAGCTGCGTTGATCTAAAACAATAATGCTGATTTGGCGGTAATCTGTGCAACCAGAAACGGGGAAAAACTTCCATCCAATCAGATGTGTTGCCTTGATAACTGTCAGCAGACAAAACCTTCTGAAATGAGTTTGATTTGTCACCAACGCTGGTGACGGCCTTGAAATGGTAACACACACACACACACACACACACACACACACACACACACACACACACACACACACACACACACACACACACACACTTGGGTGGGAAACAAGTGTAGATTAACAGGAAGAGGAAATGACACTATAAACATGCAGGCCACAGGCGACCTATTACAGAGGATTAGCAGCAATAAAGCAAATGTGCATATCTCCTCATCATCCTAAAAGTGTCCTCCTGTCTCACAGAAAACAACTTTGCTTTTACATCCAGTTAAATTTAGCCCAGCTCTTTGATAGTCGGCGCTCTCCTCGTGTCTCCAGCCGCCACTAAACATCCGTCAGGATCCATAAAGCACTTGTGTTAATCCTCTAAAGTGGAGCTTTCACAAAACAGCACCTTTTGGGAGGGAGAAGCTCATGCAGGAGGGCTGAAGAGGGTCCCACTGAACTCACAGCTGACCGAGGATAACGCAGCGTCTGGTTTATGAAAGAAAAAAACGAACGTTGTGTTTTTCTGTACATTTTCTACACAATGGTGCGTGTTTACATGAAAGGAATTTCAAACATCAGATGTGAGCTGCAGTAACTCAGGTCTATCATTAACACAATGGAGGGGACGAACGCAAACAGCAACATGCTTGGGATCGAGGGATTTCCTCTGGCTGGCTTAAAGCGTTTTCCTGCTATGGTGCACACACACGCACGCACACACACACGCGCACACACACACACCAGTGCATTAGCAAAACCACCCCTGGCCAGAAGTGAACAATGGGAACAACTGTCACATGACCACCATGTAGAGCCAGCCTTTGTTTGAGAAGGAGAGAGATGTCCTACTGCGCTTTTCTGTGCGTGGGCCCACCAGTGTGTTTGTGTGTGTGTGTGTGTGTGTGTGTGTGTGTGTGTGTGTGTGTGTGTGTGTGTGTGTGTGTGTGTGTGTGTGTGTGTGTGTGTGTGTGTGTGTGTGTGTGTGTGTGTGTGTGTGCAAAGTGTGTGTAACATGTTAATGAGGTGGTTATAAACCCCCAGCAGTAGCTGCCATTTCATACTACTGAATCTTTGTCCTGTTCTCTCTTTCTCACACACTCACGGCTAACTTTCCTCAGTGTGCGCTTTGGTTTTTCACGTCAGCCCAGAGGGCGACAGACTATGACACGGACACACAGCCACAGATAACCTCACTTTAATGCGGTCAATCAGAGGGTCAGCTGAGGCTACGTCCACACAGGCTGTTCAGCATTTCATTACAACTGTACCATCACCTTCTCAACTACTAATAAAAACCCTTAAATTACTTTTTCTGTCAAAGCCAGAAGACTGTGCCTCGACGAGATAAAAAACTTGCGCAACAACCAACGTTAGATGATTCTGCCATCTATGGGATGAAGCCAAAGACCACATCCTTGTTTTTACTCCTGAGAAGGAGCGGGTGATGGGGGCGTGATGATGTGACTCATTATTAAGCCAATCCTCAGTTTTTTGCAATTCCATAATATCAAAATAATCTAGGAAATGTCAAACAAAAACTTCAAATTTAACGTTAAATAAATTGTTTTTTGGCAACCGAGTCAGTTGAAAGTAGAAAATGTGAAACCACTCACATGCTTGTGCAGCAGTTGTTAAGCCCGAATTGGCTGGTGAGCTTAGCACCAGCTTAGAACACAGCTTCCCTGAATTACTCCCACCATTAAAGTGCCCGTTTGAACCACAACTTGTTTTTCACGTGTGCGTTTGGTGAAAGTTCACCATCAGATCTGAACTTAAGATACGGGAATCTACTCCTCGTGTTTATCATATACTCTGTTTTACTAAACTACACTGACAGACCAATAGCTTTATATTTACTATAGTTATTTCCTGAAACTATTCAGTCACAGATGAAGAAGTTGAAGCTTTAGGCTTTATTTGAGATTGGGCATCTCTGATATTGCTATAAAGTTCCATTCAGTTTAATTCAGTTTATTTATATAGCACCAAATCACAACAAGAGTCGTCTCAAAGCATTTCACAAAGTTAACATTCAATTTAATTGAGTTCTTTGAGTCAATTATTGAAAAGTTTCCTATATAAGGAACCCAGCAAATTGCATCGAGTCACTGACTAGTGTCAGAGTCTTTACAGCAATCCTCATACTAAGCATGCATGCAGCGACAGTGGAGAGGAAAACTCCATTTTAACAGCAAGAAAACTCCAGCAGAACCTTAAATTACCAAAAACATGCATGTTAGGTAAACTGTACGTCGTTTTGGATAAAGGTGTCGTGACATGAATGAAGTGTGTTCACTTTTAAAAGACCTGCATGTTTTTACAATATTTGTAAATTTAGGAAAAATAATAGAAATATCTTTCTTTAAAAGGTGCACGATGTAAGAATGAAGCTAGAATGACATTCTCTGGTCAAATTTGTGCACTGCAGCTCACTTTAAAACTCTCAGCCCCGTTCTGTAAGTTACCATACTATACCATACCAAATCAATTTATTTGTAACAGTGTATTTCACCACATATGAGAGCTGACGAAAGCACCTTACATAAGGTCATAATAAACAGAATTAACAGTTAAATAAAAAAAATAAGGCAACACCAAGCAGTAAAAACAAGGTACATCAGCAATCAAACAGCTCAAGACAGTAAAAATGAGCATTAAATAGGTCAATGCCTAAGTGTAAAGCGCTCTGGAGTCATAGGGCATAAGCAGCTCCGACATGTAAGGAGATACAAGGCCATTCAATGCCTCAGAGACAAATAAAAAAATCGTGAAATGCACCCTAAAGGTCACGGGCAGCCAGTGTAGACATGCTAAAACTGGGGTATTATGACGTCTATTTGTGTTTGTTAAAAAACTAGCAGCAGCTTCTGTTAGCAAAGCTGAAACCGGCGCGCCAATGAGCAGTGAGTCCGCAGAATCCAAACTAGAGGTAATAAAAGCATGTATCACATTTCATATCTACGGCTCACTCCAGAAGGTTGTAGTTGATGAGCAAAGACGAGTCATACACAGGAAGTTGATGAGTAGAGAAATACATTTCACTGTAATTTCAGTTGCTTGTAATTGAAAAAGTAGCTTGAGCTATTTTTCGAGCTGACTGTTTGATGTTAATTCACCGTTAGCATTGTTAGCTCAACGTTAGCCTCCAGCCTTCTTCACCTGTTATTAGAGTAAAACAAAAAATATGCCGTTGCTTCTAAGGGATACGAGATGTAACTTCTGGGTCGCTCCTGTTACTGGTTAACATACTGTACAAAACTCTGGAGTTTTGTACCAGCTGGTGTCAAATTACAGACTGTGTCGGGTTGGAAACCCCGCAGGCTCACCGACTAAACAAAGACTACGTCCCTCTTTAGTTTTTTTTAAAAGAGAACATCTGACAACCCCCGACCAGCTGAGAAAGACAATAATGCAAATTTCTTCCCAACATGATTGAGACGTTAGATTGTTTTGCGATTATTTGTTTTAAAAAAACAGTTTTTTCTTACTTTAGCGCTCCACGCTAGCTTAGCTAGCTCCACATGAATTGTAAATATGAGAAAGTCACAAAAGGGACGTCCAAGCAGAACAATTTAGCTGTTGTCTCAGCCTTACGTCCACATGGAAATGTACTTTAAGAAACCCCAAAGAAATATTTTACTAAATTCAGGGTTCCAGATACTTTCTTTAAACTCAATCTGAAAAACTGTCTCATGAAGAATGTCGTTAGGAATAACAGTACCACTACAGATGAGAAACACACCAGCACACAGAGAACTACCACTGACAAACACACAAGCACATATGACGTGAGTCTTAACCTATCAAAGTCCTGCTGAGCCAAACTGAAGCTCTGTCTCACATCATCTGTGGTGCTAAACAATTAAAAATAAATAAACCAACATCAAATTCCTCAGATAAAACATATATTTACAGAAGGAAAAAACAAAGATTAAAGCAGAAAATGAATGCTGTTGGCCTTATCTTTTATATTTCATGTAATTATGCCCTGTTGGGGTTTCCAGAATAACTACCACCAAATCATAACCACCACAGTTACACCCAGCGCCTTGGGATGGCCCCAGAATCAGAGGAGCTCCAACTGGGATGGAGGAGTGAACAGCTGAGGGGTAAAAGGGAAGTGTGGAGGTAAATGAAATAAAAAGAAGGCAAAGCTGAGAACAAAAATAAAACATGTTTTTGTTGGGATAATCAAAACTAATTAATATCCGCATCATCTTGGATGGATCAGCTGTGTGAGCTGCTGACAACATGCAGACATTCCAACACACACCTACAAAGTCAGCTCTATGAATGATCTTACCCGGGACGTTGCCTCTTCTCTGCTTAAAGGTGAGTTTCAGTCTTTCAAACTTCTAGCAACCTTCCCCACTTTCATACTTCTGAAGACTTGCAGGCTGACTCACTGACCCGCTCTAACTCTACACGCTCACGCTCTTTCAGACAGGCAACAACAAGTAGTGCAGCGCATTCACAAGCCCTGCCCTCCCCTTTTCTTTCTCTGGGGAGAGATTTGCGAGCATCCAGCCCCTCCTTCTGCTCCTCTGTGCTTTGGGAGGAGTTTTCTTTCTTTTTTTCTCCTGCTTTAAGCACACTTGTCTCTTATCAACCTAAACTCCTGCCTCTCAGCGCTGAACTGAGCCTCCTTCTTCTCCACTTGTTCTCATCTCCTGTCCTACGTAAACCAGTAGTCGTAGCAAAGCTTCCTATGTTGGACACTTTATTTGCCCTCGTGTTAAATAAACCTGCTCACTGCGACAATCATATCAGTGTGAAGCGAAAAATGCAGAGAATGGGTCAAAAAGAACTGTAAAAAATGTTGAGTTCCACTTGGCTCATTAAATTAAATGTGTGTGTGTGAGTGTGCACGTGTGTGTGTGTGTGCGCGCACGCGTGTGCATGTGTGTGTGTGTGTGCGTGCACATGTGTGTGTGCATGGGTGTACGTGTGTGTGTGTGTGTGTGTGTGTGTGTGTGTGTGTGTGTGTGTGTGTGTGTGCATTTGCGTGTGTGTTCATGTGTGCATGCGTGCGTGCGCATGTGTGTGTGTGCGCTTGCGTATGTCTGTGTGTGTGCGTGTCTGTGCATGTGTGTGTGAGCGTGCACATGTGTGTGTGTGTGTGTGTGTGTGTGTGTGTGTGTGTGTGTGTGTGTGTGTGTGAGCATGCTCATGTGCGTATGTGTGTGTGTGCGTGGGTGTACGTGTGTGCGTGTGTACGTGCATGTGTGTGTGTGCGCATGTGTGTGTGCGCGTGTGTGTACGTGTGTGTGTGTGCGTGTGTGCGTGTGTGCGTGTGTGTGTGTGTGTGTGTGTGTGTGTGTGCGTGTGAAAGAGATCCTTCTGGCTGCCCTCAGAACAACACTCTCCTGTCTTTGTCCTTCTGTTCCTTTGTATTGTCTGCAGTAGATAACACCCAGACACGTGCATGTGTGTTTATGCATGCGCATGTGTGTGCATGTGTGTGTGTTTTCCTGCACACAATGCAACAAGTCCATCCTGCAGATATGAACGCTAAGATGACTGCATGACCCATAACAGTCACACGAATGATCTTTTCTGCAGATCATTTGATGTTAAACTATTAAAACTCATTTTTATGATCTGAACGTTGCTTTATTACTAAACTCACCATCTGACTTATTGTTTTTCCAATAATGAACCTTTTAAGTGAGAAGGTGCACTGATCGAAAGGACACCTTGTTTTAGCAGTGCCACCTGGTGTTTGACACAAGGCAAGGGAAAGCCCAAACATCAAGTTAGATAAATGAGCTTTGATTTGACTTTTGGTTTGGTTTTAATATTCTTTTAGAGATACATTTGGTCCAAATTCTGTTCCCACTTTAGTTTTGTGCACTAATACTTGTTGGAGAGACACTATTTTTGTTTTCTATAGTACTTTTAGCCAAACAAACAGGAAAACAAAATTCTAATTCTCTCTTTTTGCAGCTTTAAGGAGCAGAAACTTTCAATGACCCCAACAGTCATCGCTGATAGAAGGCGATCAGTCATAAACAAAGAGCCTCCACACACACTGGCCCAGAAAGAACTTGAACAAGACCTTTGAAAGTTGCTCTCCCGCTTGGCGTTTCACAAACTAAAGACATTTGTTGACCAAGATGTATGAACAGGTAGAGCTCAGTTCTTGGTCGAACGCACAAAAAGTCATAAAGCAGCTGCTGCTGCATCGATAATTTAAGGACAAAGTCTTGATTATAACAACATTTATGAGTTAGTCGCAGAATAAAGAGCCAGAAAAACAAAGTAAAGTCTGAACATTTCCTTTTTGATTGCAAAATGAAATAAATAAATATTCAGCTGAACGTAAAGTTATTTTTAATCAATCAATCTCACAATTATACGTGAAAACCCCCTTTTAAGTGTGTATGTTTGTGCATGCGTGTGTGTGTGAGGGTGGCCTTTCCAGGAAGCTGCACAGTGAGTCAGTGGAGCAATCTATAATCATGTCCTGAATCACCTGAGCGTTCCCAAAATACAATAAGCACAAGGTGAGAAGGGGTGGGGGTTGGAAGGGGCAGCAGACACATGCCGCTGTGCTGAAGCTTCTTAGTTCTGTTGTGAGAGAACTAAATCTGCATCGAAGGGGCTCGGAGGCTGAAGATTGTAAAATTTATGCTCCTCTGATTCATAAACTGTAGGGCAGGGGTCCCCAATCCTGGTCCTGGAGGGCCGGTATCCAGCAGGTTTTGTGGTTTTTCTGCTCCAACAGAATTCAGTGGTTGAAACACCTGTGCAGCAGCTCATCTGGCTCTGCAGAAGCCTGTTAATTAGCTGCTGATTGAAATCAGGTGTGTTGAAACAGAGTTCAAACTAAAACATGCAGGATACCAGCCCTCCAGGACCAGGATTGGGGACCCCTGCTGTAGGGTTACAAGATAACGGGAAACAATGTGACAAATTTACCAAATAAATCCTGACATTTACAATGTGAGAAGAGGAAGAAACTAAAAAAAATCTCTAGGGCTTCAAATATCTTGTATCAGGAGGAGAGTTACAGTTCAAACATCCCAATGTTTAACAACATTAAAAACCTGGAGAGGGATTAATTCAGCTTCAGCTTCTTCCTTCTCCTTTTGAAACATGTTAATAACGTAAGATTAATTAATAAATCTTACAATTATAATAATTATTATTGCACATAGTAAAACGAAAGTCCTACCTACTTGCCTGCCTGCCTATCGATCTGCTTACCTACCTACCTACCAACTTACCAATCTATTCATCTATCCATCTATCTACCTACCTACCAACTAACCAACTTACCAATCTATTCATCTGTCCATCTATCTACCTACCTACCTACCTACCTACCAACTAACCAACTTACCAATCTATTCATCTGTCCATCTACCTACCTACCTACCTACCTACCAACTTACCAATCTATTCATCTATCCATCTATCTACCTACCTACCTACCTACCTACCTACCAACTTACCAATCTATTCATCTATCCATCTATCTACCTACCTACCTACCTACCTACCAACTAACCAACTTACCAATCTATTCATCTGTCCATCTACCTACCTACCTACCTACCAACTAACCAACTTACCAATCTATTCATCTGTCCATCTACCTACCTACCTACCTACCTACCTACCTACCAACTTACCAATCTATTTATCTATTCACCTACCTACCTACCTACCTACCTACCAACTTACCAATCTATTCATCTATTCACCTACCTACCTACCTACCTACCTACCAACTTACCAATCTATTCATCTATTCACCTACCTACCTACCTACCTACCTACCATCTTACCAATCTATTCACCTACCTACCTACCAATCTATTCATCCATCCATCTATCTATTCATCCATCCATTTATCTATCCATCTACCTACCTACCTACCTACCTACCTACCTACCTACCTACCTACCTATCTATTCATCTATCCATCTACCTACCTACCTACCTATTCATCTATCCATCTACCTACCTACCTACCTATTCATCTATCCATCTACCTACCTACCTACCTATTCATCTATCCATCTACCTACCTACCTACCTATTCATCTATCCATCTACCTACCTACCTACCAACTTACCAATCTATTCATCTATTCATCTACCTACCTACCAACTTACCAATCTATTCATCTATTCATCTACCTACCTACCTACCTACCAACTAACCCATCTATTTATCTACCTACCTACCTACCTACCATCTTACCAATCTATTCACCTACCTACCTACCAATCTATTCATCCATCCATCTATCTATTCATCCATCCATTTATCTATCCATCTACCTACCTACCTACCTACCTACCTACCTACCTATTCATCTATCCATCTACCTACCTACCTACCTACCTACCTACCTATTCATCCATCCATCTATCTATTCATCCATCCATTTATCTATCCATCTACCTACCTACCTACCTACCTACCTACCTATCTATTCATCTATCCATCTACCTACCTACCTACCTACCTACCTATTCATCTATCCATCTACCTACCTACCTACCTACCTATTCATCTATCCATCTACCTACCTACCTACCTACCCATCTCTTCATCTATCCATCTACCTACCTACCTGCCTACCCATCTCTTCATCTATCCATCTACCTACCTACCTATCTACTTACCTACCTACCTACCTACCTACCTACTAATCTATTCATCCATCCATCCATCCATCTATCTATTCATCCATCCATCTGTCTATTCATCCATCCACCTACCTACCTACCTACCTACCTACCAATCTATTCATCCATCCATCCATCCATCTATTCATTCATCCATCCATCCATTCACCTACCTACCCACCTACCTACCTACCCACCTACTCATCCATCCATCTATCCACCTACCTACCTACCTCATTGGTCTAATGGTGTGTCTGAGTCATGGTTGGGGGTGGGACTGTTATGGTAGTGGGTCATTTACAGCTTAGAGAGATCCGCTGCTTCCTTCACGATGAAATCATCACATTTTAGGCTTCATTCGACCAAAAAAAAAACATTGTTTAAACAAATAAAGTTACAGGACAAAATAAAAGGACCAACAGGTTATAATAAAGGAGACTGAAGAAAATATCATTCTGACAGGGAAACCAGTGCTCCCAGTTTGAACCCAAGAGGAACGTTTCAGCATGCGAGGGATTTTAATCCCAGCTGTTGTTTGGGTTGTAATCTGGTGTTCAGAGGTTCTATAGAATCAAAACAGTTTATTTTCAAATCAGGATGAAAGATGAGAAAAAAATTTACAGTTTGATTCTTAGTTTTAATGGTTTAAACCAGGGCTCACCAACTCTGGTCCTCCATGGCTAGCATCCAGCATATGTTAGCTGTTTCTTTGCTCCCGCACACCTGATTGACATTAATGAGTATTTAACAGGCCTGTGGAGAGTTAAGAAAAGGATTAAATTACTCAATTCAGGTGTGGTAGAGCTGGAAAAAAGAAGAGCTGTGATTGAATGAGATAATTTTCACCTTAGACATAATAATTACATTTAAACTCCTGCCTGAATGAAGCTGGTATTTTGATTAACAAACAGACAAGAAACCAACTAAATAAAAGTCTCCAGATTCCAGATCTTTGCATGATCAGAGATGTTCTCCCTCGTTCTCCAGTGGAAACGGTGCACTAAACGCTCTCAGCCTCCTCTGTATCCCCCTCATTCCATGGACTCCTGATCTTCTTCCTCCCTCTGTCCTCCTCCTCTACTCCCCAATCCCCCCAGTGGTTCTGTATATAAACACACGCTCGTGTTCCCATGTGTGCACACCCCCGATCAGAAAAAGTGTGTGATGCAGACAGATAAACACGCAAAGCACTCCACATTCCTC